TTAGGGCAAAAAGTCCCAAAAGGCAGACAAAGACAAAATTCAGACAAAAAGCCTTGTATTGCATCCAGCCTTTTTAAAGTCTCTCTCTCAGAAATATTTCAAAGGTTTGCACTTCTCTCCAAATTCCCCAGCTCATTGGACCATCACCATTTCATCAGCTGTGATATAAACCCTCATTAGAATGCACTTCCCCCCAACATTTAACCCTTTGTCATCTGGGGAGAAGTCTTCTGATAAATGAAGGGAACATGTTAGACCTGATTATCACACTTCTTCAGTGGGGATAGTAAAGAAGGATCTTTTTTTCCCATTGTCATTGCAACTTTCAGTGAAATTTTCCTTGTGAGAAAATTGTTGCTACAATTCTGGTAGTGTATGTGCTCAGAAGATTGTCAGGTTCAATTCTTTGGGATCAGTTTTTATTATTAATGCTTAAAGATAAAGAAATGTCCTTTGGTTATCTTTGACTGATTGATCCTTCCACCTCCTGGCTTGCCCCACCTATCTAAAAAACAGTTTCTTGCTTTGTGAGATGGCTCAAATCTTAATACATTTAGATAAGAGCTTTTGCTTGAACTCATTATCATCACAGTCCTGTCTGGAAGGTCACAGGTAAGACCCCTTTCAGTGGTTGGTCCTAGTCTAGCTTGATGGCTTCAAACACCCTTCTTGCTAACCTTCCATACGCAGGTGAAGATTTTCTTTGTTTCATCAGGCTTTTAAAGACTGTTTACTCAGAGGGAGAAGACCTTGCATAACACATGGTATTGTCTTATTTGTTGTTATCATTTTAATGGCAAGGTTTTTAAACTTGATTTGTCTTTTAATTATACTTTTAAGTTTTGTATGGTGTGAATGTTTAGCTGTTGTCAGCCACCTTTAGTCCTGGACTAGGACAAAGATAGAAAATAGCAACAACAACAACAACAACCCCTGAGTGCTGGAAAGGTTCTTCAGCTTCCCTCTGTAAAACCATCCCCCTTAGAGGTAGATACCCCCCGACTGGTCGGGAGGGGTTCACATTGCATCGGCCATTAAAAGGCCTCGACGCATGATTGGTTGAGCAGCCCGGAAGTCCCGCCCTTGCCGGACTGCTCCACCAATAAACGCTGGGTCTCACGCAAGGTAACGCGAGACTTGTAGTCTCGCGAGGTTTTCTGCGAGATTTTGGGGGGTTATATAATGCGGTGCTGCCTCGTGGCCAGCAGCTATTTTGAGTAGGCAAGCGAGCAGCCCATCCCACCCACCCTTAAAATTTGAACATGTTGTTTACTCTCAGGCTTCGGCTGGGAGGGAAAGCTCTTTTGGGTTTTTCGCCCTCCCTGAGAACAAATAACATTATCAGAAGG